GGAATTGCTGTGTGCATTTGGAATCCGTGTTTCGCTCACAAAATACATAGTCAATTCACTTTGCAGAATATTCTGTGAAGCTCTTTGGGACGTCTCAACAATATGATAAGACACTGTATCAAATGCAAGGATTATTATTATTATTATAAAAGCAATCCTATTTTGATTAACAGCAAAATGGATATTTGCAAATCAGGTTAATATGGGCAAAGCTACTAAATCTTATTCTTCAGTTTTTTTAAAAAGAAATTGGCAGACGTTTCTATAGGTTGAAAGAGCAGCTCTGTCTCTGTCGTGGTTTACAAACAAACCTATTCTGAGAGGCCTTTGTCATGCTGTGGTCTATTTAACATTAGGAGCAGTTGCCCTCTAGTGCTGGGAAGGGAAAATGACCTACAATGTGCGTAGGATTAATCGTGTGCTTTAAAACTGATTGAAAGTTTAACTCAGCAGCTCTCACCAGAGCAAGTCACCCGTAATAGCTGTGAGTACCTTAACCTTTTATTTCTTCGGGTGTCTTTCACAGATTATCATCCTATCCTTGCAGCATTCAGTTTTATTAGTGTTTTTTATCCCATTGGCAATAGAAATTGGTGGACTCCAGCTGCAGAAACCCAGTATAATTTTATTGCAGTCTAATATCACTTTACAAAGTTGCTTGGATGTTCTTGCCTCGATGCCAAGATTCAGCTGTCATACACTGAAATTGTAGGATGTCAGCAGAGTGGAGCTCTAAGTTATGAGAGAGAGTTGAGTGAACGCAGTCTCAACAGAGAAGCATCGCACCCTCCAAGCAATACAATCATCATATAGAAAAACAATTTACTTTCAATGTCAGCTTGGCTCGCTTGGTAGCACTCTTGCAATGAATCAGAATGTTCTGGGTTCAAGCCCCCCATCAGGACTTAGAATTCATATTGTCTAAACTGACAATCCAATGCAGTGCTGGCGGTGTGTTGCAATGTTGGAGGTGCTTTCCTTAGGATAAGACATTAAAACGAGATCCCATCTACCTGTTCAGTTGGATGCTAAAGATTCCATGGCCCTATTCGAAAAGAGAAGGGAGTTTCTCCCAGTGTCCTGGCCAACAATCCCTCAAATAAAAGTTGTCACTCACTTCAAGTCACGACATTTTACAGAATATTCTGTGAAGTGGTTTGAGATGTCCTACTGGTGTGAAAGATGTTATACTAAATGTCAAGCTTTAACTTACTGTCATTCTGCGGAGTCCTGTAGCTCAGTGGTTAGAGCACTCGCTTTGCAAGTGAGAGACCTGAGTTCAATTCCAGGCAGAGGGCGAAACCTTGGGCAAGTTTCCTTACTCCACACGCCTAATAATAATCCCTCCAAAACCAATAATAAATTGGTCATTTTCAATCTACGACTGTTTATGGGACATTGCTGTGCGCAATTAGCTGCGGCGTTCGCCCACAAAAATATGCAGTCAATTCACTTTACAGTGTGTCCTGTGAAGCACTTTGGGATGTCCTCCCAACGTGAAAAGCGCTATATCAAATGCAAGGATTGTTATTATTATTATAATTATTATTCGGATCAATGTAGAATCTCTGAAGTGATGATTCTATCTCTAATTGAGAGGTGCATTACATTAAAACATTGGGTGAAAATTGGGTTATGTGATTTGATCACATCACACAAAATGTCATGTCTGATGTGACTCTCTCCCTCCTCCCACTTTGCCACAATTGTCAGGCCATGGACATTATTGGATTTGCAGGACACAGATAACAGCTTAACTCTTCATTGTTGAGACTTTGACTTAAGGTTGTTCAGGTCAGCCAGGCTCTGTTAATAGCACTGTTGCCTTTGGGTCAGAAGGTTGTGCATTCAGCTCCATGTTGGGACTTGGGGTTCTGATCTAAGTTTACACTCAGTGTAATATTGCAATGGTGGAGATGCTACCTTTCAGACGAGACTCAAATAACGAGGCCCCATTTGCTTATTCAGGTGGTAAGATTCTATGATACTGTTGAAAAAGGGAAGGGGAGGTGCCATGGGAACCACTCTGGGACACTATCCTGCATAAGGGGGAGCGACATAAATGCAAGTTGTTGTTGTTATCCTGGTCAACATTTCTCCAGATAAATTGGTCACGCACCTCATGGTTGTTTCTGGGTCTTTGCTGCGTGCAAAACGACTGCCTACAATAACAGTCACTATACTTGAGAGTAATCAATGTGACCGAAACCCTCATCCACGCTTTCATCACTTCCCGGCTGGACTATTCCAATGCCCTCCTCGTTGGTCTCCCCAACTCCACCATACAAAAAATTCAATTAATCCAAAACTCCGCCGTCCAGATACTCACCTGCACCAAACTCCATACCCCCATCATACAAGTCCTTGCCAGATTCCACTCGTTCCCAATTACCGAATGGACCGACTTCAAGATCTTCTCGTGCCTTTTCAAATCTCTTCATGCCCTTGCACTTCCCTACATATCTGATCTGCTTAGCCCCCCCCACTCCACCGCCTGCTGCCTCTGTCGGCCCCCTCCGCTCCACCATCAGTGGCTGTGCCTTCAGCCACTACACCCCAAAACTCTGGAACTCCCTCCCTCAATCCCTCTGCCTTGCCCCTTCCCTCCCCACCTTCAAATCCACCTAAAGACCTCCCTTTTTGATTGTGCTTACTGTCGCCTCCCCCTTCCCTCTCCCCCTGGCTCAGAGATAGACTCCATCATGCTCTGGGACTCTACCCCATGTAAAGGGTGCTGTATAAATGAAAGATGTTGTTGCAATTGTTGTAAATTCCCGGCAGGGCGAAACCTTGGGCAAGTTTCCTTACTCCACATGCCTGATAATAATCCCTCAAGAAAAAAACAATAATAATTTGGTCACTTCAATCCACGACTGTTTGTGGGACACTGCTGTGCGCATTTGGCTGCCGCATTTCGCCCACAGATATACAGTCAATTCACTTTGCAGTCTATTCTGTGAAGCGCTTTGAGACGTCGAGAAGACATGAAAAGCGCAATATCAAATGCAAGGATTATTATTATTAAAGAGCTTTGAAATGTTTTGATGCAATAAAATGCTGTAAAAATGCAAGTGCTTTCTTTTTCTATTTCCTATTAGTTGAATGTTGACTCTAGGTCTGTGTTCTTAATGACTGCTGACTGGATTGGGGTGACCTAATGTTTTATTATATAGGTTATGTAGCTTCCCAACAGTCACAAAAACTCTAATCATGACCTGTCCCTCTTTTAATGCTGTGCCATTGTCCCTCGTCTTGCATTTATAATAAGCTCTATTGAATTTGGTGCACGATGCTAGAAATGATAGGAACCAGCAGGTAGCTGTTAAATCATTTCTATGACGCTGGTTGCCAAGAAAATTATTGAACTTAATTGCCCAAATCAATTGGATACTATTTTTCAATTTTTGTGGGCTAACATTTGTGAAGCTGTCACTGCTCAGTATGCTGCATTATAATGTGAGTAGGCGGTAAAGCTGTTGATTTCTACCAAAATGACTTGTTTATTGCAAACTCTGAAGGGAAGGGGGGTAGGGGAATTAAACAAGGAATGTGTGTGTGAGTCTCTTACTATGATGTAGTGACTTTGGGTTTTGTGCAAACCTGAACTATGGGACATTTTAAAAAGCCTCAAACTGATGCTTCTCTGCCATGTACTTCGATAAGAGATCAACAGCAGTGTGGTTGCTTTTGATTGAGCTCTTGCTTTTATTTTCAATGCACAAATGAAAAGAAAGCCAAAATGCAAACGCAAATGATGTATTGTGTGACCAAGGATTTTTGCTGCATGTCCAGGTAATATTTTCCATAGAAAAATGGCAGAAACTGTAGGTCACTGGCTTTTTTTCCATTACATTATTGGAAGCTAAAGCTTTCTGTAAATGCTTTCAAAGCAACAGTTTCAAAATGTCACCGTGAAATACAATACGGGTGACACTGGGAATAATACCTGCGAGCTTTGTTACCATGGCTCTATTTACACGGATTCCATAACATGAAAGAAAGTGAATTCAATAAATTGCTTAATGACAATAATAATAATAATAATCCTTGCATTTGATATAGGGCCTTATCAAGTCTCCAAATCGTCTCACAGCACTTCATAGAATATACTGTAAAGTGAATTGACAGTATATTTTTGTGGGCGAAATGAGGCAGCCATTTGGCACAGCAATTTGGTCAGGGTGAGGGACTACATTTTTTTAAGCGTTTATTACCCAAGAAAAGCGATCCGGCAATCGATGAATACCTGGGCTCCTACTTACTGCTAGGTAAGCAGAGGTCTGTGGAGTAAGCAAACTTGCCCTACATTTCGCCCTGCCCTGCAATTTTCTAATGGAATGACAGAACCTTTATCATTAAAGTTCATATACGTGTAAAGAGGTGAGAGCTTGTTAGCCAGAAAATCTGGAACCTGGAAGCAAATCTCAGGAATGGAAAGGGAAATTCTACAGTTATGGAATAGGGCCAATTTCTTCTTAAGTTTGTTTTGCAAACATTATGGTTTAAATTGAATGTTCCCCAGAAAACAGAAGGCATTATTTATGTTCAAATTAAAATAAACTGTACACTTTAGAGAGAGTAAACTTATTTCAATTGTTTTTTGATGGCTTTATAATTGTCCTGTGTAGGAAAAAGTTGAAAGCTGGCACTTTAAGTCATTTTTTTCTAACTATATTCTTGTGCTTTTCCTGCAGATTAAGCTGGAGCCTTCTGGGCAAGCATTTGTGTCAGTGACAGAAGCTCTTTCAACCAGGTTTTTGTGCTAGTTACAGCAATGATGGAACAACGCTCTAACCCGGGCGAAAATGATCAATGATTTTCTATGTAATCGGCTACTGAAACCCATTGGAGAGTTGGGCTGACTGATCCACACTGTCAGTTTGGATGAATAACGCCAGTAATTGTTTTGCAATGGTTACATGAACTGTGGAGGTGCACTGGCAGAAGTCATTTGTGCTCTGTTTGTTGTGGAATTCCAGACGAAGAAAAAAAGATTTATTTTTAAGAAAAAACGCTGGTGACAAAATAAAACATGAATTTTGTCATGAAGTTTCGCAGGCATTTGCGTAGGATGGTGATATTACTGGCTGCGTTTTGCATGGTGAGTGTGCTCATATCAGCTTACTATCTGTATACTGGCTACAAGCAAGAGCTTGAACTTTCCAAGCCAACTGCAGAACAAGAATGTGGAGACACCAAACTTTCACCCTACCGATTATTTGAGATGAAGACGGCAAAACCTATTGACACGTCCAGAGCAGAACCCATGGTCCTCGTATTTGTTGAGAGTCAATACTCCCAACTCGGGCAGGAGATAGTGGCTGTTTTAGAGTCAAGCCATTTCAAACATCACTCTGAGATTGCTCCAGGCAAAGGTGACATGCCAGCCCTTACAGATAAAGATAGAGGGAGATACACCCTCATTATATACGAAAATATTTTAAAGTATGTGAATATGGATTCCTGGAACAGAGCACTCCTGGATAAATACTGTGTGGAGTACAATGTCGGCATCATAGGATTTCACAAAGCTAATGAGAACAGTTTGCTGAGTGCACAGTTAAAAGGTTTCCCATTGAATCTGCACACCAACCTGGTCCTCAAGGACTGCTGCATTAACCCTCGCTCCCCATTGCTGCAGATCACCAAAGCTAAAGAGATTGAGAGAGGCACTCTGCCCGGAGACGACTGGACCGTTTTCCAGTCCAACCATTCCACCTATGAACCTGTGTTGCTGGCCAAAACCAGGTCAGCCGAAAACATCCCCCATCTGATCTCTGATGAAGTTCTGCACGCTACCGTTGTCCAGGATCTGGGCTTACATGATGGCATCCAGCGAGTCCTCTTTGGAAACAACCTGAACTTTTGGCTGCACAAACTTATTTTTGTCGACGCGATTTCTTTCCTGTCGGGGAAGAAGCTGTCGCTTTCCCTGGAGAGGTACATTCTCGTGGATGTGGACGACATTTTCGTTGGGAAGGGAGGAACGAGGATGAACGTCAATGATGTGAAGGTAAGGCGAGCAGCGAAGCGCACACAGATGTGACAAAGACCTTGGATTTCAATTTAAATTAAAATCGGTCTAGCAATTGAACACATTCTGTGCAAAAAAAATTCTTTCTGAGAAGGCATGAAATAAATCTGCTTTTAGAACAAGATCACTCGCTTCTGTTACCTTGAACACAAATTCCTCTCTATCAATGAACCTTGATATTCCATTGCTACTGCAACCAGAAGCAGTTTTTGGAGGATCAATGGTGCATTGTTTCAGATGTTGGCAATGGAAAACATTTGAATCTGGAGCAAATATTTCCTTCTGCCTTTACTTACTGTTTGTGAGAGGAAGCATAGCTGCTCTCTCATAAGACCTACGGCAACTCTTCACTGAACGACAGTATAAGAGACTTCTGTTGCTAGCTATTAATCTCCAACTGTTCAGTTAGAAAAGCTTTCACATGTTGGATCTGGTTTGCATTACACATTGAACACCCTTCAGCTCTTTAGAGTCTCATTCATGTTATTGTGTTGTGGTAGGGGTGGTGGTTGGTAGTTACTAGTAAAACATTTAAAGAGATCAGATGAGTTTACAATTTAACAGAAAGCAAGGATATTGTTTACAAGTCTCATTGAATTTTAGTTACATTCAGATGAAGTGATTTGAAGCTGTCATTTGATCTAGTTTTGCACTATTTTTTATCCGGTTATATATGGGTTGTGAGATGAGTTGAAAAGTATGTATGACTGCGTTCTGTAAATGCCCATCGGCTGAGAAAGACATTTCATACTGTGCACAGACTCTCTCAGTGAGAGATGGTGACACTAGTTGCTGAGTTTCCTTCGGGAGTAACACATAAGAGAGAGAAGATTGAAAAATATTACTCCGGTCAGTAGCGTGGTTGATTTAAAGCTCCTCTGTGGAAATGCGGTGGTTCCCCAGTTTTGAAAGAGACTAGTGTATTTGTTTAAACTGGACTTACCATATTTAACACTCTTACCAGGGAGATGCTGTGCTGAAATCAAAACTTTTCAGAATCCGCTCTTAACTCATTCACCTGAATCTTCTTGACCAAGTAGACAGCAACTACCTTCATGTTCTTCTGTGTTCTGTTTTATAAAACCCAAACCTACGTCACTATTGCTCACTTGCCCTTTCTTTATTTATAAATCCCACCTTAAGATCTACCTCTATGACTGTGCCTTTGGGTACCTCCCCTTCCCATTTCTCACTTGTTCAGCATCCAACTCTGCTACTGTGCAGGTCTCCAAGACACTATCCTGCATGAAGGGTGTGTTATAAAAGCAAACTATTGTTGTATGGGTGCTGTGTTTGCTCTCAGTATTGTACACAACTTCGCTAGAGCAATTGAAAACATAAGAAGACAGAGAAAAGCAAGGCAAAGGCACAGAAATATGTGGAAATAGACAGATTTACAGATGGACATAAAAAGCTAATAGGATCATCTTCATTTGTACCTTTCTTGGGATCTCTCTCCCTCTCTCTCTCTCTCACTCTGAGAAACCTGAAGGGATATGGCCAATTGGATTTAATGAACAGCTTGCTCTGAGAGCCAGTCCAGACTCAATGAGCCGAATAACCTCCTTCTGCACTATAAATTTCTAGGATTCTATTTCTTGTCTCTTTCTATATAAGAACCAATTCACTGGGGCAGTGATTCTTTTTCTCACTTGGCTCCTGTTAAACCTGCAAGCCAAAGCCCTCATGGGTAGGATGGTCCTAGGTGGTCAAGCAACGAGAAGCTTGCTAGACAGTGCTTTCAATGGCATGCCACATGGTTTCAGTTGCTTAAACACCAGCTGTACCCCCAACACACTCTCTGGGGTTCTCAGGCTCTTGCCAACCTGCACGTAAATACTTTACTGGTTTAGATGAGCAGAGTGCATTATTTTGGGGAGAGAGTCTGTTTTCCATATGAGACAAAGGGAATTTCCATGTGTGAGTGGAACTCTCAATGATTTGGAAGCTCTTAAGAATAGCGATAGGTTTCTACTTGGCAGACACTCGGATGATCAAAAATGTGATAGAAGCCACAGGTGTGTGGTTTTTTAAAAAAAATAAGTAGCCTCACCTCTTTCAGGGTTTAAGACTTTTGGAGTCATGATAGTTGCTGTCTACTCGGTCAACCGTGAACTGGAGAATCTGAGCTTTGTCCGTTTAATGGCCTCCTCTGTACTTACTCCCTCGGCAAGCTCGCATGAATGAATAGTTTAATGAATACCTATTTAGAGAGGCTGATGAAGTAATCAACATCTATTTCTAGAAGTTATGTTTGAAAACTGAAGCTCCTCTTGGCCATTGTGAAGGTCTTCAGGAGATTTACTGATGAGTGGAAATCAACTCCAGGTTGGTTTTGTGCATCTGCGAAAATCGCTGCATTTTTTTTGTGCTCATGAGAACAGCCACAGCTGACAGGAAGTTGGAAAGTGCACACAGTCACTACACTTTGCAGTATATCCTGTGAAGTGCTTTGAAATGTCCCGCAACGTGAAAGGCACAGTATCAAATGTCAGGATTATTATTACATTATGATTAACATAGCACTTCTGGTAACTGGAGTCCTGTAGCTCAGTGGTTAGAGCACTCGCTTTGCAAGCGAGAGACCTGAGTTCAATTCCAGGCAGGGCGAAACCTTGGGCAAGTTTCCTTACTCTACACGCCTAATAATAATCCCTCCAAAACCAAAAACAATAATAAAATTGGTCATTTTCAATCTACGACTGTTTATGGGACATTGCTGTGCGCAATTGGCTGCCGCATTCGCCCACAAATAAACAGTCAATTCACTTTACAGTGTGTTCTGTGAAGCGCTTTGGGACGTCCTCCCGACGTGAAAAGCGCTATATCAAATGCAAGGATTATTATTATTATAACTGCAAGTGTTCAGGAGACATATTTAAGCAAGACGCTTTATAATGGGTTGCCCTGTATTGCGTACCTCTCATGTATTTGGACTGTCTTGCGGGTTCTTCAGCTATGTCAAGTGGTCCTTCAGATCCCATGGTTGATTGCTTTATTAACCTGGATTAGAGGATCTCTGTTATTGCAGAGTAAAATGGTTTAAAACAACCAATTGTGTAATTATTTGAACTTGATTTCATTAAGTCCTTTAAACGCTAGTGTTTTAACTGATTCTTGTTGATTGTGAATTTGATCAGTTTCCTCTCCTTTCTTTTTCGGCTTCTCCCTCACAATTAAAATCTTCCAGAGGAATGAATACCTTCTGTCTCACTGTTAACGCTATCCTGCACTCAGATGGGTCTCCTCTCTTGGGGCTCCCTTTGGCTTGGTTCATTCAGTTGCTCAGCTTCTCAATAGTGAAATCAAGTTGCAGATGTGTGTATGTGTGTGTGTTTTACATGGTGCATTTGCATCCCCACAAATAAAAATGCGTTAAAACTTGAGTGGAAATGATCTTTCCTGCCAATTAGGGTTAAACTGAAACTGTGAAACGCTATCATGACAGGAAGCTGGTGATAACTGGAAGCCATTCCACGAACATATATGTATATATATATATACATTGTAGGACATTAGGAGATTTGGTCATATGTTCATATCAATCAATCAAACAATCAATCCTCTGACCTAATCAGAACAGTCTGTCTTTAACCATTCTTACATGACCCTCAGGTAAGATGATCAATTGAAACGCATTGCTTGATCTTCAGCTGACGTTATGAACTGGAAAATACATTTGATTTTAACATCTGAATCATTGGGAGTTGGGCTGATCAAGGACCACAATGTACCTTACTTCACAGGGTGTTATCATGCTCCACTCTCAACTTTTAGTATGAGAAGAGGACTTAAAAGTAAAAGAAAAAAGTGCAGTGCAGTTCCCCAAAGCTGAGGAAGTTCAATTATGAAGAGCGATTAGACAAATTAGACCATTTTTCCCTAGGGCCATGCAAATCAAGGGGTGGTCCTCAGGATTATGAAGTCTTAGAGCAGAGTAAATAGTAATAGATTATTTCCACTGGTTGGCAAGTAAGCAATGAAAGGAAATACATTTAAGATCATTATAAAAATAAATAAGTGAGAGGTTAGAAAAATATTCTTCACACAGAGGGTGGTTGGAATGTGAAATTCCCTGCTAAATACCATATTTCAGGCTGTATACATAAATGATTTCAAAAGATAATTGGCTAGAATTAAATAAAATTAAATAAAAGAGAGGAATTGCTTTAAAATGGGGATATTAAAGGAATCTGGGAGTGTGAAAGAGAGTGAGATTAGATTGGTTGATGTGGACTACTTTTGTCGATGGTCTAGAGTGCCCTGTTTCATGAGCTCATTGGAGCCCAAAATTCACTGTTCACTTACTGTGGGAAATGAGGCAGCCAGGAAATGCACACAAGGTAGTAAGAGAGGAAAAAACAGCAACATAAGCTCTCCAAAGGTTCACAAATAGAAGCCACTGTCCAATGTGAAATTATGCCATACAGACCAGAAATGTCACAGGTTTCATCTTCAATATATACTAAGTTCAACAATCCTTACTTCTACAATTGACATTAACAGCCCTGGACTGGGGAGGTGAAATATTTCAGAATCAGTATCCAGTGTGTGTTTGTTAGGCTGCAGTGATCTCTAAGGTCAAAGTACCTAAAAATGATCTATATCTGGGTTCACAAGTCAAGAATGGTCACTTAGTTAACGTGCTGTATGGAAACCAGTGCCTTTGGAGTAATACTTTACGATGAGTTAATTCTTTCAGAAAAGGAAGGGAGACAGTTGGAGGGAGGAAAAAATCCAGTAGAAAAACAACATAAAACAATATTAAAATCCACTTGAGTAACAATGTAGCAGAGGAAGTTAAAAGGAAAGGAAAAATCATTTCCATTCATGTTTTATGCACTTTTATTTGTGCAAAAAAAAATAATTATCAGTAATGTACAGGAAATAAGCTTCTCGAAGAAAAGGCTGAACATTGTCTGGGAACAATGAATCTGGGATAATAATAATAATCCTTGCATTTGATATAGCGCTTTTCA